AATTTGGTTCAATTCAGGATTCAAGACTGTCAGAGTGGCTCTGATAAGTTAGGTTTGGTCGGCAATGGAGAATTCTAATCATTTTTTAAATACTTTTTCAAATAACTATCTAGTTATATTTAACTTTAGATATATTTTTTTTAAAAAAAAAAACATCCAACAATATTTATAAATATTTAATCATACTAATGATTTTATTTTGAAACCAAACTTAGAAAATGTAGAATAAATAACTCAGAATTTTACTAAAGACTAAATTTGTAACTAATGATAAAAAATAAAAAAAAAAACAAATATGATATAATATTATTTAAAAAAACATTTCTATAAAAAAACAAATATGATATAATATTATTTAAAAAAACATCTCTATAGTTTTTCTTACCATATACTATGAAAAGCATCAAAGATGTAATATACATACTTTTTAAGAAAATAAAATGATATTAATTGTAGGTCAAGTATTATTATGTATAAAATTAAAATGAAGTTCAATTGTTATTACTATATGTTATTAAGTATTTTAGAAATATTCAAATTATATAAAAGGCATCAAAAGATGTAATATACATACATTTTAAGAAAGTTAAAAAAATAGAAATTGTAGGTCAAGTATTATTATATATAAAATTAAAATGAAGTTCAATTGTGATTACTATAAGTTATTAAGTACTAGTCGCGACTCGTGCGATTCACGAGATGATATATTTTACTGAAATATTTAACATCTTCAATATTTAAATTAATAGTCTTGTTATATACACACACACACACACATATATATAGATGGCTCGCAAACAAACTAAAAAATTATAAATTATTGAATATTTCCTTATACACAACGTTTCTGGTTTGATTTGTTGGAAAGCTATCATCATCACAGACTAATATTTTTAAATCACTTCGGTTGGTGACACGGGAGACAACAATGTAGAACTGGTCATGACTGAAAATCGACTTCTTAAAAAATAAATTGGCATGCAATAACGATTGTCCGTGGCATTTTTTTTTACAGTCATAGCGTAAGAAACCATAATAGGAAACTGTTGCTGCTGGAAATTCAAAATAATTATGACTTCGGAAGGTGTTATTATCATTCTAGGAATCAACACCTTCTCGTTTGCTTGATCCCTAGTCAATATCTTACACTGAAGAATATGCATGGAGAGTTTTGTCACAACCAACCACATCCCATTATCTAGACCTATATAGAATGATTCATGTTCCGCAAGAACATGATGGGAGTTCAAATCTTCAAATGCAACGATATGATTTGAAATTCTCGAAACATTTGACATAATTCAAGAACTCGGGCATGTGGAGATTAGACAGAAAACTGTTATTAGAGTCTCACTTGCACGTACTATCAAAACTTAACTACGTATGACCACCAGACAAATTAAACGATGTCATGTACTCATTTATGAGCTCAACAACATTCAGAGCCGGTGCTAATATAGCCTCGTCCTTCAAATAAATGGAATCTTCAGTTGTCTGCTTAACGTTGAATACGTGCTCTCAACGATGTGAGCAATTGGATCATCAAAGGAGGCTCAAGAAATATATCCTCGGGTATGTCTATCATTGCACAACCGAGTTGTTTAGCTCAGTTATGCTCAGAACGACGATCTTGAGAAGTAAAAATAGTGTGAATATAAACGATCGAAAC